TGTTAAACTACAACTGATAAACTTTATTTTAATATAAAAATAAAAATTATTTCTTATTAAAATTATAAATTTTTATAGAGAGAAAATTTCAATTTTCATTATATTTTATTAGTAAATTTAGCCCCTGAGTTATTACTTTTAGTCACTACTATATCTATTAAATCAAGTAAATAAATAATTTAAAAAATAAAATACTATTATTTAATTTTTTTAAAAGAGTTATTTTTATATAAACTTTTTATTTTGAAAACTAATAATTTTTATCTCAAAAAAATTTATATAAAAATTAATAAAAATATAATAATATAATAATATACTTAATTATAATAATAAATTAAGTTTTAATAAGATTTTTTGAAATTCTTGAAAATAAAATTAAATTAAATAATTTTATAAGTTTATTTTAATATAAAAAATATTTTTTAATATATTTAATTCAGTAATATAAAATATTATTAAATAATATAGCTTAATCTTTTTGTTAATATAAGATTTAATTAAAAAAATTATAATATAACTTTTTTAATTATATTCAAATTGGTAAAGAGTGAATTCATTAATAAATAATTTAATTATAAGATTTATTTAAGTTTATAAAGATATAAATGCTAAATAATCTAATATATAAATATTTTTTCTATTAACAAGCAAAAATTATTATTAATAGAAGAAATAAATCAAAATATCAAGACTAAAAATGTTGAATTTTTTATTTTGTCTAAGATTAGTCATATTTTTAGAAATACAGAATTAATATAATCTAATTTAATTTTAAGTTATATCTTATTTTTAAGTAAAAATTTATTAAAAATTAATATATAATATAAAATTATATAATTTATTATTTTCATAAGATTTATAGAATTTTTACTTAAATATTCTTTAAAAATTTTATTATTAACATACTTTAAAATAAGTATATACTCTTTAGAAATTGATTCTAAAGAATTTAATATTAATAAATTTTAAATAATTAATAAAAATAAAAATAACTGATTAAAATTTATTTATTATTACAGAAGTATGATTTTGATTATATTATTAATGTGATTTTTAATATAGAAGTTAAAGATTATCATATCAGTTAACTTAACTTAAAAAGCTTTATTATATATATAATATTATTTTTATATTTTGATATATAATTATAAGAGATAAACTAATTAAACTACAAGATTAATCTAATAGAAAAATTCAAAACTAACTTTTATTTTGAAAAATAGCTTGTATCTCAAAATTTTACTTATGAAATTTTATTATATATAATACATCTATAACTTTGATTCTAATTATAATTCCAAATCTACTAAGATAATATTTAAAAATACTTTTTTAATACAAGTTTTAAAGAAAATAAGCTAATTAATCATAAGATTAAAAATTTGACAGGAAAGACACAAATAGAATGGGAATTTCAGCATCTGTTTTTCATTCTGAAATAAACAAATTGTTAATTTTTATTAAAGCTATTAAAATTTCTATACATCTTTATTGACTTGAATAATGAAAGCAAGTATATTTCTCGATTTTGACGCTCAAGAAGTGCTATATGTATGTTGCAGTGACTTCAGCTTGGTGCCTGAGTTTGGAAGATGAACACTGAGCACTTCTGGTTTTCTGAAGTAATTTACAGGATTTTTAATTACTACTTTTCGAACTTGGTGAAATAGTCAACGAAATTTTAGAAAGTATGACATAATCTGATTTTCCAGGAAAAGTATCAACATTATCAATCTGAAGTGACTTACTTTGTGGAAATCATTTATCCATTATTACAAGCAGCTTCACGAAGGATAGCTCAAAAATTTAAAATTTTTTGAATGGGTAGATAAAATCTTAAACTAATTATATAACTAATACAAATGACATGAACATAAGCTTGCAATTATTCAAATCATTGTTAACAGAAGTTGATGAAAACATCATGAACAACCAGGCAATTCTTATCATGAACATATGGAGTTTTCTCAAAAATTAACGGAGTTCAAATCTTCAGATGTTTTTTGACAAGCATGAATATTCGAGGCAAACAACCAAAAACGGATAGAGAGCTAATGTTTCAAGGTCTTACATAACATTATTTTTTCTGATCGTATTGGTGAAGTTATCAATAGTTTTGAATGGAGCCCTGTAACTTGATCCTGAACCAACAAATATTTTCGCGTTTTCATGTTTGACACAGACTTCATTCTGGTCTTCATGATGACCACTTACGCTCTTCTGTACTCGCGTTGGATTGATTGGGATACATCTTTTTGTTTCAATGTATGGGCAGAAGTTAGTTATGATTGAAATGATCGAGTAATTGAGGAGTTTAGATTATATATGTACTGTAATCTCATTTGACTTACTAAGCGAGATTTTTATTACTCAGCTTTACTTCCATTACTGAACTTATTTCTCAAGTAGAATCTGTGTTTCCAGATCAACTTCTCTTAATCCCAACACATGCTTCCAATCGAACATGGCAAAACATTGAACTTCTATATATACAGAATTAAAAATAGTCCTTTAATCTAAGTTCATAAGTCAATTATTTAATATTTTGCCTTAGCGTAAAGTAACATATACTTTTAATGCAGAAGAGATATACTGTAAATTACGTTATATAAATAGAAGTATTTTCTGCTCCACACCCCATGTAAGGGGAGGTTCAATACCAAAATACGAATGTGCATGAATTCCAAGCATTCAAATGCTAAAAAACTTTCTTTAATACATCAAAAATATGTCGCGTCTTAGATCTAAAAGAAATATACAATATATTCAGTACCAATCTTCCCTTAATATTCCGTTCGAAAAAGTAAAAGAACGTAGTCGTCTCGTTATATAACATGTACCTCGAGTTTCAATGTAATGAAAGATGCTAAACTTCCGGACGCCAATATTACCAATACGAGTGCTTCAATCTTATTTATTCATATACATATACAAAATATATCCCGAAACCATCTTTTTACTTACTTATTTATTGTTATGAATCCCAGATGGTCACTTCTTTGATGTGTTGTTTCTTATGAGTAGTTTTCGCCTAGTCCTCTTCTTTTTCTTGCGTATTTTTAAAAGACTACAATTTTTTACTTTCCAGCACCTTTTTCATGGCTGTAAGCACAAATAATGAATTCTTTGTAATCTATTTTCCTTTAGATATATGATGCGCAATCACTTTAATGTTGCTATTGTTGTAAGGTATACGTTGTGACTGTCGTCAGATATGGAGAATGTCGATTTAAACTTTTAACTTAGATACATCATTAATTTTACATTTTGATCTTTTTCATAGAATAAACTCCAGAAACATTCAAATTCGCAGTTTGCAGCGATTTAAATTAAGCTCCCAAGTCGTTGACTTTAAATTGGAACCTTCTGTTCTTTTTGATGTAGTGCCAAGTTTGCGTAATACTGGCAAAGGTTCTTATTTTCTTTTCATATTCATCACACGTTCTTCAAAAATTACATTCTTTATGTAATATATAAAACGGACGTGATTTTAGTTAAATTTTGTATTACGGTATACAGTGTTTTTTAAAAACTCCTAACGATACGAATGCTGTATTGTATTGCTTTGAGGCGTAGTCCAACATCTCGAAGCCCAACATTCCGAATGTCCATCATCCTGAATACTCAAATTCCCGGCATTCCCAAAATCCTGACACACTAAAATCCCGATGAATGCACTTAAAATTACGCAATAAAAGATTAATGCGAAATGTGTTAATAATAATGGTTGCCATCATCGTCATGATTGTTAAGAGTAAAATTGTGCTAGTTTTACATTATCTTTACCATTTTTTACTTTTATTTTTTTTAGGAATGTTGGGATGTTGGATATGTTGGAATTTTAAGAATGTCAGGATGTTGGGTAGTCAGATTTGGACACCTTTATACTTATTGTTTTGAACAAATCCCACGAAATTCATAAAAAATTTCTTATCCTGCAGCCACTTCGTAAATTCTTACAAAAATTCTTACTCTGTGATATCATTATCAACGCTGCCTTCCAAATAACACAAATTTCTTACAAAAATTCATATTTACGTTCATAGGAATGTAGTTATTGCAGAAATTCTTTTATCGTATGTATTCCCTTGATCCAAAGAAATTCTTACAAAACTTCTACAATCTTCACAATTTATATCGTGCTTCATAATTTTACTTTACCTTATTAATGTAATTACTCTCGAAGCATAGCTATGCCATTTTTAAAAATTCTTACAAAAATTCATACTTTGACGTAGGAACCCGCGAACTTTTTAGTAACTTACGATCTGTAATATAAAATAGCTATATAGTAACTAAATTGTATATAAAGGATAACTCTCGAAGATTAGAGAGACAAATCAATTGTGATTGAAAAAAATTATTTTTAACTTTTACCTAATAAATGCGTCAGATTTTATTTCTTTTGTGTCACAAAATTGAAAGCTTTATTTTTTTATGTTTAGCAAAATCGAAGGCTTTACTACTTTAGCCATACAAAGTAGATGAATTATGTTTGATTCTTTGATTATTGATTATTTGATTCTTTGATATTGATATTTTATTTTATTGTTTTGGAAGAAACCCATTTTGTGAGTTTCGTAAATATTATTTTTGTTATTTGAATTAAACGTTTTATTTTATTAGGAATTAACTATTTCCTTTGTGGTGAATTGAAGTTAAATATTATTTTATACTTTATTTTGACCTTGATTATACAGTCTCCGGTAGAGGAGGCCTTTAGAACCAACTTTGCGTAAATCATTCAGTCTAGTCACTGCTCTTTGTTATTGCCATAATTCATTAATCACTTTCGAATTGTGCATAACATTATTATCAAAAAAAGACTAATATACCTAAAATTACATTCTGAACATTTTTTGCTTAAAGCAAAACCAAAATTTATTATATATTTTGAGATATTAGGTGCCGAAATAGGAAGGTGCACATAAATTGATCAACCTTATTTTTACTGAATCAATTATTATTATAGAATTCTTTCAATTACAATAAGAAAATTGATAATGACAAAAAATCACAGAAAAACACGTGAAAGAGATGAAGACACGTTTAGTGGGATTTCAGATTGACAAGTAAAGAAGATATCTGAATTTATTATAATAGGAACGAAACTTACTGTTGTTTACATTGCCAAATTTTCATGGTTATTAAAACCAATTTGGACTGTTAGAAATCTTCAAAAAAAAGTAACTAAGAAATTCGTTAATCAGAAACTGTCTCAAACGATTGCAGAGTATCGTTTTTAATTGGTTAAAAGTTAACTTATATATAAATACATAAATTCATCATATGACAAATTATATTATTTTAAAAGTTTAAGCTCATAAACTTTATTAATTACAATATAAATTTAATATAGAAACAACGTTACTATATATTTTCAGAGATTATTGCTATCACCATTAATAAATTAATAAAACTTAAACACCAAACCGCATCAAATCACTCAACACCTCACACATATGTTTCTCACGTTCTGATAATTGCTTACGAACTTCAACAGTAGAGTCATCTTCTTTTATCAAATCGTTAAAATTCATCCGTTTGCCATCCTCGCCTTCCATAATTGGCATTATTAATTTTTCCTCAAGTGACCTGGGATACTCGTCAACGAATGCATGTATAATCGTCATGGCAACAGTGTCAGCGAACCGTTTAAATGATAGTTTGAAGTAGGCCATCACCGTAGCGATTAACTCGTGATTGTCAGATATTTGCCGATTATTGTCATCATTCTGAATCGCATCTTTAAGAGCTCCAAGATACATGAGTTTCCCCTCAGACATTGACCTTTCATCTAGAGAAAATGGCTGAGAGATTTCCATCGACGTATTGAATTCAAGTTGTGCTGACGTTTCATTTTTGCATTCCTTCAACCACGACATAGCATTTCGTCTAAAAACATTAATTTAATAAAAATATTAACTTTATCATTGCAAATCAATTATCTTACCTCATAATTCTTAGAAGTAACGGAAATCTACCAAAAGTATCTTGAATCGAATATTCAACTAATTCGCTCATAATACCATAAATCTTCGACAAGCAATCATCTGCAGGTTTTTTCCATTTCTTTTGAAAATCATGTATCAATACTAACGCAGCAGTATATGGTATAAATCCTGGTAATAGTCTTCCTTTAGCAATTTCAATTCTATGCTGGATATCTGCCTCCGTAATTTCTTGAAGTTGTTCGATCTCAATCAACTCAGTCAAACCATCATCATGTTTATTAATTTCTGATTTTCCCGGATCCATGAATTCCTTCAAGACGTCAAATTTCGCAGGTGTATACACGCCATAATTGTCGAAGGATTTGCCGACGACAAATATTGGCCGTGTATTACAAAGCTCGAGTTTGAATCGTTTCAACTCTATGTTGATTTTCTGCCATAAAGCCATTTTTTTATTCGAACATGTTGTCTCTTCACTTATTGCGGATGCACAATTTTTGACCATACGGTAAATTTCGACGCTTGAATTTTCGGATATGGGATCGGGTAATTTTTCAAGTTCAGCGCGCGCCTATTATTGATACATAAAAGATTGCTCAAGAATAAATGTAAAAATCAATAAATATGTATTAAAAAATTACCTGATCAAGTTGCTCTTCAATTTCTTTCTTGATCGAAGGGAGGCCTCTTTCAATGGCTTTTATAAGCAATTCGCTCAACTTGCCACGCAACTTCTCTACACCAATTCTGTTTTGAAAATGTGAATTTTGCCAGAGATTTGATTGCTTAAAGTACTAGTGAAGAAAGAAAAATGATTAAAGATGAACAATATACAATTCATATTTTTTTAATGATCCTTGCCTTTTTTTCTGCTTTTCTTGCCGATTCAAAAGTTATTCCGGATTTGAGCTCATTTGGTGGAGGATTTCTCACAACATAATAACCTAATTCAAGTTTATGCGCTTCACCTTGCATTATTTTCAACCATTGGCTTTCTGCGCCATCTTCGATTGTGTCCGGTTTTGTAAGGACACCTAACGTTCTGATCCCTAGTTTATCGACTTCTCTCGCCATCCCGACGATTGCCTGATTATCGATCTCATCTTTACAAGAAATAGTCGCGATTATAATGGACTTTTCTTTTTCGATATAGAGCTGAACCAAATCCTCTATTAGTTTTATGAATTTTTTATCTTGTGCATTTTCAGTATGACCTTAATCAACAAAAGATAAATGACAGTTTAATATTTAAATAAAAATCAAATGAATAACTAACAAAAGAAGAGAGTAACATACGAATAATTCCGGGCAAATCAATCAAACTCAAATTAGGTACTTTGGGACCTTTGATCTCTAAGCATACAACGTTTTTTGTGAATTTTACTTCGTTTTGCTTCGCATCTTCATTATGATCCATTGCGAAGTCCCAATTGAGATATTCAGTCCAATTCCGACTAGGATTAAGGAGTGCCTTTTGTGCACGTCTCGCCATGATTTCCACATCCTCTTTTTCATCGATAGGATCGCCGAACTTGAATTCCTCTGGGCGCGTTAGTTCGTTATCATTTTCATCGTTATACTCTTTCCTCAATTTGATTTGGCATTTCCACGGTTCACTTGATTCCATCAGACGAATTTCCATTACACAACGGGTACAAGTGCCTTCTGAACGTGGCAACTACATGTTTAATAACAGTTTATTATAAAAATGGAATTCGCTTATTGATTGTAACTTAA